ATGGCTATATATATATATATATATATATATATATAGCCATCTTAAAAATAAAATATAAATATTTAAATACAGTAATTTTCGGTCAGTTTTGTCCTAATTCGTTATTAGATATAATTCTAATACAATTATAAATATTATTGTTATTTTTTTCATCGGCTATTTAAAAGAATAAAATTAAAACACACATCCAGATGTGGCTATTAGTGACATCAGAGTGCGGGCCTGATGCTCCATACATCATATCTGACTCAAACACGCACCTATCATCATGTTGCTCAGTTTTAGGTTAATATTCAGTCAATTACGTCAAATGCATAAAAAAATGCATTTTTTGACGGTGCGTCTGTTCCAGAAGGTTCTCCGTACAGAGGTGCGCGCGCTGCCACCTCGGGATATCCGCCTCGGAGATGGTGATGCGAGCGCGCGACTCCGTGTACCACCTGAGCTGCTTCACCTGCACCACGTGCAACAAGACCCTGACCACCGGCGACCACTTCGGCATGAAGGACAGCCTGGTCTACTGCAGGCTGCACTTCGAGACGCTGGTGCAGGGCCCGGACTACCATCCGCAGCTCAACTTCGCCGAGCTGGCGGCCAAGGGCGGCGGCCTCGCCCTGCCCTACTTCAACGGCACCGGGACGACTCAGAAAGGGAGGCCTCGCAAGAGGAAGAGCCCAGCCATGGGGATAGACATACCCAGCTACAACACAGGTGAGCTGGATAAGGTTGGGTGGGACCTCACTCTGCTTTACGCATTGCTTTCTCACTATTTTTTATATTCTTAATTAATTATTTGACCTTAAAAAAGTGGACTAGTCCAGCTGCTGCAAAGAAAACTAAGACGAATCACCACCGTATAATTTCTTTAAAACAATAATTGCTGTTTTGGCCTACATTTTAACACAAAGGTTAACTTTAAAGCTTTTCCAGCTATTTGTCAAACAAAATGCTCTCTTTGGGGACGCTTGTTTTGTTTTCCCATTTCCAGCAAACCTCCAGTGAGAATCAGAATAAATAAGCAACATGCAAAATTATTGATGAATTCTTTTTGCCCATTTTTTCCCCTCCATTCATTAAAATAAGGATCAATATTGTTTATACGCATAAAACCCTTTGTTCTGTAATCTGATTGATTTTCTCTTATTCCCCTCCAATGCCCCCTGTCTCACATTTTTAGAAGTAATATAATAGTAAAGGCTTTTATATTAAACAGTGTCTGGGGCTATAGAGGGGATCCTTTTACGCACCTTTTAACGCAAAGTAATCGAAAGTTGACCTGTATGTCAACCTGCGTATCGACTTCTGTAATCTTGAGGAAATAAAACAATTTTGACTTTACAGAATAAATGACTGTGGGGGGGGAAGCTGTTACTTTTTTTTCACTAATAAACTGTATCCTCGATAAATGAACGCCTTTCGCCTGAAATCTTTTCATTGGTTTGAATGTTGCGACCCCGATGGCCCCAACCTTTCCCGCAGCGTCCTCATTTTGTTGTCGCTTTCTGCGAATTAGTGCGCGGTTGAGAAAGTTTGTCATTGTTCGCCGAGTTTCCCCTGCTCCCCGCTGAATAGAAACAGGGGGAGGAATAGGGGTAATCTGCGCGTTAATTGTTCCTTGTTAATTGAAGGTGACGTTGGAATCTCTGGCCTCTTGTGTGGCGGTCAGTGCAGCTCCGCGCACAGGGGCCTGCAGCAGGGGGAGAGACGCAGCACTGTACAGTCCGACCTGCGCTCCAAAGAAAGACCTTTATTTTCTGCAAAGGATTATGCAAATCCTTAAGTTCCCACTGTTGCAATTGTAGGAAGTAGGATAACCACTGTGACATGTTTAGCTTTAAAATGAAGTCACAACAGGTAAAACCAAAACAAAAACCCTGCGACTAAACCCAATGATGTCCCTGTAAACTAATTAAGCTCCAGACTCCATAAAGGCCGCAGTGGGACTATTATAACTCTCATCTGGGACCCTTAAATAAATTATAATATATATATATATATATATATATATATATATATATATATATATATA